ACATACATACATACATACATACATACATACATACATACATACATACAGTGACCTTGGTGCCAACTGTCTGTCCTGTACTATCATCAGATAAATAGTTCAGGGGAAAAGTATAATGATTGTAGCCATAAATGGGACTCAAAGAGAAATTTCAAAGACATTGTAATTGCATTGGAAAATACGTTTATTGATATAATGTTCATAATGCATTGTCAGCAAAAATGCAAAATATATAGCATGGCACAATTAGATTCTCAAGGGGGAAAAAACAGAAAATTGATGGCATGGTATGCCCCCATCAGATCAAACCATGGAATATAATTAAGTGGTTAATTAACACCCTCTAATTATTTGAATGGGCTTAATAGAATTCATTCACATGGCAATCTTTTCTTTCTTTTTTAATAAGACATTATGGTACATAAAGTTTTGTTCCAGGTTATATATCCAGTTGGAAAAATAATCATATAGCTCAGCTAAGGGGAAGGGGAATATAATCACTCTCATTGACATTGAAATTGTCCTACTTTGGAATTTGCATGGAAGACCAAAAAAAAAAAAGACCAAAAAAAGAGTCAGGTAAAAGTAAAACAGTAGTGGGAAGGCACAAAGAAGAAACATGTTGAAATGTTAATATGAACTCTAATACTCAATATGATCTGGAAAAGGGTTGGGCAGCATGGGCTATTTGCTATTCATTTTTTAAAAATTACTCCACTTCCTCTTTCACACATGTCTGGAGCAGAGAGTTCTGCCTTTGTGCATAGAGTGCTACTTAATCTTTTTAAAAACCATGCAGGTTCAGGCACTTAGTATATATTATCTAAAAGGTGCGAGTTTGGAGAAAACTAGTTTATAGCCATGGTTATGTAGAGTACTAAACTGGCCACATATGTTGCTAAGGAATAAATATGAAGCTTTATTTTTTTTCTTATAAAATAAAAAAATTCCAGATTATTAAGATCTGACACTGGAATTAGATTCTGCTGTAGTTGTTTTGAATGTCTGATCTGGAAATGCCCACATCTTTTGAAGAAATCATGCTTTTATTTCTTAAACCCAAAATAAAAAGGGCTCCTCGCCACTTCTAGCCCGAATTGAAAAGCTGCTGTCAGGGCAAATTCAGGGGCTTACTAGACACAGTGTTTATTGGTATGTGTCTGTCTCCTCTCACAAGTTGTTGAGAGAGATTGTGAGGGCTCTGCGTATTACTCATATCGAATTTTACGAGAGAGGTGGGTGGTTCCCGAAGCTCACTTGGTTCCATATTGATGTCCGCAGTTGGTTCAACAAACAGGCCACTTGTCCCGGTGTCTGGCTGTCTGAAGCCAGAGGGAGTTGGGTACAACTCCCCTGGAATCTCATTCAGTCCATCAGTGGCTGTGGGGAAGACCTTCTGGATGCCTGCTGCTGTGCCTTCAGGATTGGCCTGGACCACTGGAAGAAATCCATCTTGAGCTTCAGGAGGGGGTTCAGCTTGGCCTGAAGGGAACATAGCGCCTTGCATGCCAGGAATGAGAAGTCCAGTGAAAAACTGTGAAGGTGACTGCCAAGGCAAAAAGAGAATATGTATCAAGAAGTTAAAAGATCTCATGGAGTACTTTGGACATTATAGAGAAAGACGGAGGAGAAAAGGATGAAAAGACAGAGAATGTAGAGTAGTATTACTCCTCCATTTAAAAAATGCAAGGAATTCCTGAGCCCTACTTGTTAAAGCAGGGGTCTCCCACCCTATAACTTTAAGACTTGTGGACTTCAATTCCAAGAATTCCTCAGCCAGCAAAGCTGGCTGAGGAATTCTGAGAGTTGAAGTCCACAAGTCTTAAAGTTGCCAAGGCTGGAGAGCCCTGTGTTAAAGGATAACAATCCTATTGAAAACATTCTCCACTTAAAGGGCTTCCCAGTCTAAATGCAAATTCTCAAGAGAACCATTCAAGGACAAAGCAAGACCCTGAAAGGTATAGAACAAGCCTTGTTCGTGTATACTATTTTTAAATGACCAGCCAAAGTTTTAGCAACTATTTCTAGATTTACACCCATATATCTAAATTAGCTTCTGTAAAATTGTATACAAATCTGTACTATCTTTTGTCTTCCTGTTTTGTCTCTTCAAACTGTAGTATAAACTCTAAAGCAGACGAGGAAAGAAGGAAGGAGGGAGGGAGGGAGGGAGGGAGGAAAGAAAGAAGGAAGGGAAGGAAGGAAGGAAGAAGGAAGGAGGGAGGGAGAGGGAGGAAAGAAGGAAGGGAAGGGAAAGGAAGGGAAGGGAAGAGAAGAAAAGGAAAGGAAAGAGGGAAGGAAGGAAGGAAGGAAGGAAGGAAGGAAGGAAGGAAGGAAGGAAGGAAGGAAGGAAGGCCTAATGTTTTGATAAGAACCCAAATGAAATATCCTCGCCTCACCAACGTGAATTGGTGAGGTCCTTGGTCCCCTATTGGCATTTTGTCTGACCCTGTGAAGAAGGCATAGAAACTGTAAATCTATCACACAGTCTGGATGGTTTGGAATTGGGCTGGTGATGATTCTGAATGATCCCATGAAAATAGAAATATGTTAGTAAATTATTTACCATTTCCTCAGAGCTGAGCACTGCACCCTAGAATACCAATCAGAAAATGCGGGTTTGAGGGAGCAGAATGGAATAAATAAACATTAAGGGCATGGAACAATGATTTCTAAAAAGTTTATAAAAATGCTGCTGCTGCTGGTGCTGCTGCTGCTGCTGCTGATGATGATGACGATGATGATGATGATGATGATGATGCATAGTCTTATTACAGCAGATACAGGGGTGTCCAAAATAGGTGTTCCAAAATCTACAGGATTATGGGCATGGAATAGCAATCAAAGCTCCACACCTTTAATAATGAAACCAGGCCCACCATCCTGTAGATCTTTTCACACACACACACCTTCAATAAGATCTTTGTGATAGGCTAGGTCTGGAATCAGACTCTACAAGAATGCACAATTTTAGTATCATATGGTATATTAACAGGATATTGAAAGCCTAAGAGTTTGTTTCTCTCCATTTTAATACTAAACATAATCAAGACAGGGCAACCTTGATTGATTTCCTCACTCCTTGCTATCTATTCCACAAGCTCATATTTCCTTCTCCAAGACCACCTCTGTACTTTTCCACATCCTTCCCCATGGATGTTATATGTGGGAGAGCAATCTGGGGCTACACACAACCCTCCCACAGCCACATGCTACAGAACATCTAAGGTTTTTGGCCCTTTTGTTGGATTTTGCTTTATTCTGATTGTTCTAAGAAAGCAATAGCAATAGCACTAAGACCTAAACAATGCTTCACGGTGCTTTACAATCCTCTCTAAGCAGTTTGCAGAGTCAGCCTATTGCCCTCAACAATCTGGGACTTCATTTTATCAACCTCAGAAGGATAGAAGTGTGAGTCCACCTTGACCTGGTGAGCATTGAACCCTTGGCAGCCAGCAGAATTAGCTTGCAATACTGCAGTCTTACCATTGCACCACCAGAACTCTTAAGCAAAAGCAAAACTTCTAAAACACTTTTTCCATTAAACCCCTTAAAGCCAGACATCCCACAAAATGGGAAATTATTTGCATAATTGAAGGACCCTCTGGAAGTGCTCTGTGGCCCTTGAGTCCAAATACCTTTCCTAAAAGAACCTAAATCCTCTTATTTATTTATTTTTAAAAATTAAGAATTGGTTTTGTTAATGCTAAATAGTTGTCACCACAGTGATTTCATGAGATTAGTCCAAAGAGCACAAATATGTTTAGTTCAATACTGCTTTGAAGTGGATTAGTGAAGGATAGATAAATCCATTTCTTGTGAAATCAAGGTCTGAAATGGACTTCAGTCAAGCCTGTTAGCAACACCATAAATGATGCTCCAGTTCCTCATTTTTTAAAAGTCCTGACCACCCTGGAAAAAGATACCCTGTCAGATATGATGCTGAAGAAAAGAAGTCCATTGCATTGTCTTTCCATGTGCGTTTCACACATGGTAGGAATGTGGGAGAAAGTTGTTTCGTACTAAGCCAGGCCACTGTTCCATTTCATTCGGTCCCATTAAGATAAAAAAAGCTGGTTGCTCCAGATGTTTCAGAGAAAAGCTGGTTGCTTTTCTAGACCCACTTGCAGATGCTAGGAATTGAGATATTGGGCATGGCAAAGAATGTCTGGATAGCCAGTCATAAGGATCACAACTGGACCATTTTTCCTCCATTGGAAAAGGGTTAAATTAAATGATTTCACAATTTATTCATATCCACTTCAGGCTATGGACATTTCCAATAAATGATTGAATAAGCACTGTTGTTCCAGCAAAAACAAGCCAGACATCTACTTCAAAAAAGCAAAACTATTCATTATGCAACAACAACAAAAAAGAGCCTGAAATTCTCAAGCAGACTTTCTGTCTCACTTCTTACCTGTGGTCCCATCTGTGTAACTATAATTGGCAGCATCTGCAAGACAAGTAGTAATAACTGTGTGTATGTCACACCTTTAGTTAACTGCAGTAAGACTGAAGGAGGAATTGGCTTTTGGGGTAGTTTGTCTTTTAGTTATTCAGCTATTCAGTATTTGTAAAACATGCTTCTAGTCTAACCTTGTAATCCTTTGGATCACTAGTCAGCCTTTCTTTAGATTCACTTTAAGTTACTCTTTCCACAAACATATTTAAGTTAACAAAATCAATGTAGCCAGTATGACAATTCTGCTTGGACTTCCTCCCCCCCACCCCCCCACCCCCCGTAATGGTAGTATAATGCTCATTCTCTTGCACCTCAACTTTCTCCAATCAGTTTGACTCCAATTCCTACCAGCTTCAGCCAACATTGGGGGAAAATGAGCCATAGGAAATCAGATTGCAATGAAGGCTACATAGGTGCAACCTTCTCAATATTTAAACTACCACTCCAAATAACCCTTTGATTCCTTTGATATCTGGAGCAGATGGAAACTAGACAAATTGTTTTGGAAAATCACAGACTGCCTATTCTCTTCCTTTAGCTTTTCTCTCCTACAACCATTATTTGCCTTTCTGTAAGTTATTAACTCTCTGAAAAAAAATGTATTGCATTTAATATTAAACCATTATGCAGATTCTCAGTCATCCAGGTCATGGTAGTCCCAAAGGTGCTTTTTCAAGAGGCAACGGCACTTTCTGTTTTTTCTTTGAAGATATTTCGCTTCTCATCCAAGAAGCTTCTTCAGCTCCGACAGGATAGTGGGGAATGGAATGGCTATTCTGTCAGAGCTGAAGAAGCTTCTTGGGTGACAAGTGAAACGTCTTCAAAGAAAAACCAAGAAAGTCCAGTTGCATCTTGAAAAACCACCTTTGGGACATGCAAAGTAATAGGGTGTGAATATACACCGCATATAGACACAGATGATCACAGACACTGATTTAAGGAAATTAAGAAAGTTATTTATGTTTACTATCCAATGTCTACGTCTGGAAAGTATTTGCTTCCTATGATTGCTGACTTAGTTAGGTTTCAAAATGGAGAAAGGTGAACAGTGGAAACAGACAAGGATATTAGCCAACCTGGATTTTTAGAGGAGTTATAAAATACTCACTGCTTGCCCTGGAGGTAGCTGCTGTGGTACAGTCATTCCCCCACCAACTATAGGCAATGTGGATAATATTCCTAGGAGAGAAGAAAGCTGCATGGAAAGTGGATTAGAACATGATTAGAAAGAAATCACAGAAAGAAAGAAAGCAATTCCCTTTGCGTTGGGTGACATGATTAAAATCTTCAACATAAATAATATTTTTGTTTCTTTCTAATGTCAAATATAGCACAAGAGAAGGACAACAGTTTTACCACCATGATCCTGAGCAAGAAATGTAGTGTTTCCCACTCACACATCACTGATGTTTCAACTGTCAGGCAAAGCACCGGGATTTTGGCACCGAAGTTAAGGATTGGTTGTTCTGCAATGTCTGAAAACTTCATATTCTACCAACAAAACAGGGTAAGAACCCTGTGACCTTCCAGATGTTACACATCTGGATTCACATTCTAACCATCCCTGACAATAAATCCTGGTGGTTGGAGATGGGGACTGTTGTACAGCTGGAAAAAAAATGCTACTTGCATGAAAGTGCTGTTTAAGAGCCATTTAATGCTATTAGTACTGATTTAGTTGGATACTAAATGAGAAACTAGAAAAGCCTGCCTCTCTGAATTCATTTATATTTTCTTAGTTGGCTGGTTCATTGTAAAATGTCCATCTTTTGCTCTTGCAAGGGAATTATTTTAATCCACCGAAATCTGATGAATGATTCCAGTTATGTATTCTACCATCATGGCTGTTCTTTTATCTACTTTTTCCAATTCCTGTGGAAATGTATCACTTCCAGTGTCCTTCTTGTATCTTTATTATCGCCTTTCTTATATCAGAATCCCCCCCATCTATGTTTACAGGATTTATTGATTGATTTCTCCCTTATTCATTGACTGATTACATGCCATCAAGTCAGTGTTGTCTCTTAGCAACCACGTCAGTAGATTTTTTTTTTCCTGGAAGATCTGCCCCCAACCTGGTACTTCAGGCCTTTTAGGAGCATTATAATCATTATTATATTACATTATTAAATTTAAAATTATTAAAATTATTATGAAACAAAAGAAATTTACAGATTCTAAACCAATAGAACAGGAAGAGTACTGCATAACTATTCATCATGAATGCCATCCGAGATGTAGTTTACAAATAGGGCATAATCACAAAGGCATCCTTTTGTCTTCAAAAGTGTTAAAAAAGGAGTGTGGGGGCTCCTGTTTTGACTCCAAGAAGGCAAGAGCCTTAATGTGAGAAGAAACATTAAAATGTTTCTTGCCTCTTTTGAATATTATTTACCATTGTTATGCTTTTAATATTTTATTGTACAGTATATCCCCCAGAAATGGGCAGTTCTTAAACATGATATAGATGATAGGCAGATAGACAGACAGACAGACAGAATGTTTATAGGCAGCTTGATCTCAAACTTTTGCAAATAATAATCCTTTCAATTGTCCATGGGAAGCAGAGCAGATACAAAACAGAATCCTGCATTCCACTGAGTGGAAACCCAATATTACTTGGATTTCCAAAAATGACAGTGGGGAAAATAGTTCCCTTATTCAAACGTCTCCTCTTTATTGAAAATCCATTACATGCTGGATGGTGCCTATAAGAAGGATCCTATTTAAAAAAACCTCTGTGGGTTACACAATCCGTACTGTCAGAGCTCTCTTAAATACTGAAGAGATTCTCCATCATTTTGTAGTAATTGCCATGTACTGCAGTCACAATTGCTGGCTAAGTACTTCTCAGAGCATCTACTGTTAGATATTGCTAAAGACTCTTCTCTGCTTGTGGCGTTCTTCTTTTTCTTCAAGAAGTGATCCTATCCCGATTTTCTTGCCAAGAGGGTTTTAGTTCTTTGATTTGCAGAAGCGGTAAGAAAACAGCAGCATCCTGCAAGGTTCCAAAATGAATTTCTCTAGTAGGTGGCTGCATGAAGCTGGGTGAATTTAGAACTGGCCCCTCTCATTTAAGTTTGGAGAATTTTGCTAACATTGACAAGATAGAAAAACATTCTGATTTTTTAAAAACAGATACCGAACGCAGAATGCTCAGCAATCTTTCCTTTCCCCTTCCACTAACCACCTGCCTGTACCATTCAGGCAAACTTGATATAACAAGTCTATAGCACGGGAAAGTAACATTCTCATGGAGAAATGAAAATGACTGAACCATTGCCAAGAAAGCCCTATATGTAGGGCTATAAAATCTGGGTTCCAAAAGTCTATATGGCCATTAGCAGCTCAAATTTATCTTTTGCTGTCATCCACTTGTTGGGATGTTTGCAGCCCAGATCTGCCAGTCATCTGATCGATAAAACAAAGCATATACAATACTGTACTTGCTTAGTGCAGAAAATAACTTACATAATTCATATCTATCGGGAACACCTGATTCTGTGGTAGGCTGAGGACAGGAAAGTTCTGTAATACAAAGAATGGATGGGTTTTTAAAACTGACTCTTGCAAAAGTTTTAATGCAATTCTGTACGTGGCTATTCAATTCAATTGGAATCGCTTCTAGCACCCTGAGCCAGAAGGCATAAAATAATAATTGCTAGACCCGGATTAGAGCAACAGTTCTTCACACTTTGCACTTTAATGTTCAGGGACAGAAAGCATATCTGCAGAGTAATAAATCACAGGTAGTTTTTCACAAAATAATTTTAACCCTTCATCATAATCAGACGGCTAGACATTAGCTGCCTACTAAGATATATAATTATTTGTGCTTGAGCTGTTTACCATACATGTATACATTTTAGCTTGGAGGACAGCATCTTTTAATAGAAAATTATCTATAATATTTGCAGAATAGTGATAGAAATTTTTTAAACCCTTTGACTTTAGAAAATTCTCCACTAAATTATAACTACCATCTTCTGATTTGGTGTGACAACCATAGTCTTGTGGTGGCGAATAAAATTGACACTGATTTTTATATTACCATTTTTATATTCGTAGCCCCCCCTTTGTATAGCAGAGAGGGAGAGAACTGATACACTTGATCAGTTTTGTAAACAGTATTTTAGTCCAGTTCATTTTTCTGCTGTCAATTTAACAAAACTTCTCTGAATCTCTCTATGCATTCAAACATAGCAATAGTGAAGAGAACTAACCTTCTATACTCTAGTTGTTCCTGCTAATCTTTTTTCATTCTCTATTTCAAACCAAACATCAATGGCAGTGGCCAACCTACAACACATGTGTCAAATGTGACATGCCACCTTTTAGGTGACACGCCTGCGTTCACTAATACAACAATTATTCTTGAAAGCATCGCCTGTTCTCACACAATTTTTAGATGCTGTGGACTTTGGAGCCTGTATGAGAACGTGGTGTGCTCTCATATAGCCTCTGGAATCTCTGAAAACTACATGAAAACAGCCTGTGTTTTTGCAGAGGCTGTGGAAGATCATTCTCCAAGGCCCTTCGAGAACAAAGGCCTCGTGTGACCCAGAGAAGCCTAGGGTAGGCCACAAGGGCCTGTCAACAGCAAAAGAACACAACCTGGAGCGGTAAGCAGTGCATGGCTAATCCTGGGCAAGGATTGTCCCTGAGCCACAGGGACAATTTCCAGTGGCAGTGGTGGTGCTAGGGCTGAAGATGAGACCTAGGCCTCTACATAAGTTCCAGACTCTACACTGCCGCCAAATGCAGGGTAGCCTAGATTGGGGAAATTTAAAAAAAAGTTTCTCTTTTATTTGGCAGGATCTATGTGACACACCAACAAAATCAAATTAGGCATTTTGAGAATTTTTGTCATGCCAAACCCCAAAGATTCATCATCAATGGTCAATGGAGTTCTGAATTCCTAGATTTCAACCCACTTCTAACTAAGAAGAGGATTTTAGTTGGACAGAGCCCAGATAGCAGCAGGTGGATGCTGAGTTTTGGTTTTCCCTTTCAGTGCTATTCAAAAGATAGTGTCAATGAACAAAATGATGGTATATTAATTTTGTTTTTTAGCTTACCACATTTGGAGGCTGATTTACTGGTAAGTTTAGATCTGGAACCAGCTTTGCTGGAGGCAGTACAGCTCTTTGCCGGGACTACAATTTAGAAAGGAATAAGGTGAATACTTTTATTTGTTAAATTTATATTTTGTCTTCAGAACCCAAAGCAACATATGTTGCACTTCCTTTTCTCGTTTATTTTATCCCCTCATCAATAACCTTGTCAGGAAAGTTGGCGAAAGTCCCAAAATTACTGATGGAAACTCCATGGCTAAAACTGGACTAGAACTTTTATCTTCCTGAACTTAATCCAAGGTCTTAACTACCAATACCACACTCAATTAGATACTGAAATTTAATTTAAATTAATTGAAAGGATCAGGCTAAGATTTTGTGATTATTTACATTTTAGAACAAGAGTCCTCTCAGAGAATAAAAAGCATACTTCCATCTCAAAGTCCTGATCCATTTTCCAATTTTTATTAGTATTATACATCATAGCAACTGCCTTTGCTAACATGATTTCGAAGAGTATTTTCATTCTCTCCCTCTTAGTCTAAGACTCTTAGTATCTTTGTACATAAGACTTTCAATAGTCAACAAGGTTTTCAGTTGTAAGAGTCTCTAGAAGTAAAGCATGCTGGCTGAGGAATTCTGGAAGTTGAAGTCTACAAGTTTTAAAGTTGCCAAGATTGAACATCCTATTCTAGGCTAAATTGATTGCCATTAGTTTTGGGTTTTTTTTAAAAAGTTATTACCTAACAAACATATAATAAGTTTATTTTCTTCAAGCCAGCAAGAAGATTAATCAGTAGCTACTTGCCAATTTTATCTCATTTTTATTTGTTGTGTTGTTTTTATCCCATTGTTTGGTTTTTTTATTGCATTTACTTATTTTATTTATTCAGAATGTGTTATTTGGCTTCATATCATAAATAGAATTGTTGTTATTTTATAGCCCTGTATATCAGAACAATTGCAGCACAAGACAGCTAAAATGTGACCTTTTTTAACCAATGTTTTTCCATTAAGAGAAATAAAAACGGCCATACCTGAGCTTGCTGTGGAGTGTTACCGATGGCTATATATCTGTGCAACAGGCGTAATATCTGGCAAATGAATCACAGATAGTTTTTCATACAATGATTTAATATTTCATCATAATCAGACTGCTGTAAGTTAGCTGCCTGCTAAGATATATAATTATTTGCAGATTTTCTTGTGCTGGAGCTGTTTACTATGCACGTATATACTTAAGCTTGGAAAACAGCTCCTTTTGATGGAAAATTATCTATTATGTTCGCAGAATAGTAGTGGAATATATATTTTTTTAACCTTCTCACTTTAGAACATTCTTCATTGAATTATAAATACAATAGAATACAAACAGCATGATTAAAATAGATTCTTAAAGGACTATAGTTTTGATCAGTACCTTTGATTATACAGAATTTTCAACAATAATTAAAACAAATAAATTAAAAAATTTTCCCCAGGAAGTGAAAAAAAAAAATCCTGAAGTTCTGCATATGCTTATTCTGGCTGCAGTTTTGCTAGCCAGCTGCTTACATTCCAGGAACAGCTATGGGATTAATGCTGGAAGTCTAAAATTACTTCATTGAACATATAAAGATTTACTTTTGAGTAAACATGCCAAAGACAGCACCGTACATCCGTCTTTCCCAATATGACATGCTCCACCTGTGTGGGCCTCTAATTCCAAAACCTTCCCAACCAAAATGCTCATTGCAATACTGATTTAACTGCATGCTTGGAAAATTGCCGTTCACAACATCTGGAGATTGCCACCTTAGAGAAGGCTGATTTACAAGGTTGCAGTCACAATTATTTATTTTTAAACCTTTTTTCCTCTTTTCCTTCCATGGATAGAACAGAGGAATTCTTAGAAAGGGAAGGGTGGAAATAATGGAAACTAATGCCATATCTGGAGACAGCTCTATCATAAAATAAATTGGACCAGTGAGTAGTGACATGATTTTATATGAATTGGTGAATTGGTGGGAGATAGAAGGATCTGGTCCATGAGGCACTTATATTCATGTGGTGTAAGTTCCATTGAAATAAATGTCTTCCTGCACTGATACATACTCCCTTCTAATGTACTTCAAGATTACCCTGAACTTCTGAATGGATGACATGTTTGGGTAATTTGTGAGAAAGTTGATAAAAATTCTATGGAAATATTCTGCCCTAGGCACCAAATTGTCCTGGACTAGTTTTGGCCTTTTTGTGGCTACTCAAGAGCCATGGTGGCGCAGGGGGTTAGAATGCAGTACTGCAGGCTACTTCTCCAGACTACCAGCTGCCTGCAATTTGGCAGTTCGAATCTCACCAAGCTCAAGGTTGACTGAGCCTTCCATCCTTCCGAGGTGGGTAATATGAGAACCCAAATTGTTGGGGGCAATATGCTGACTCTGTAAACTGCTTAGGGCTGTAAAGCACTGTGAGGCGGTATATAAGTCTCATTGCTATGCTATTGCTGCTCTGCCTTCTCCATGGCACTAATACAGCTGCCTCCATTCCTGATTCATCTGCTTTAGATGGTGTACTGCAAAGACAAGGGAAGCAGAGAATCACAAAGGAGCAGTGGGGAAAATCTTTGGCAGGGTTTTACCAATTCATCTTGTAACATTGGATCATTCTCTTGTTTCCTTCAGAGCATGGATTTAATTCTGATCTGAGAGAAAAGGTACCAGGTCTGATGAGAGTCTCCATTAGAGACTGTTGTTTGGCCAATAACAAGAGACAAGGTGAAGGAAACTACTGGTAGCAGTTCAGACCAAAGTAGAGGAACCTACACATCATAATAATGTCAACATTTTCTAGATAATTAAACAATTCAGAACATGTGATGGATGAACATGCAAATACACACTGCTTTGGCAACAAACAGGCCTACAGCCTCCCCCACTGTCACCCCCATGTTATTTACTTCTTTGCTGCTGCTTGTAGCCAGAATCCCACCAATGTGGTTGATCTGAGGAGAAAGAACATAAATTCTAAATGAAGCATACCAATATGTCTTAATCTTAAGCAATTTAGTTTCCACCTAAGTCATTATTCAGGCTAAGATTTGCTGCAGTAGCCTCTTACAAAGAATCCTCCTAACACTTCAGTATAGCATGGTCTATATCATCTATGAGGAACAATTCGACGCCATTCTCACAGATATGTCCAAGGCTAGGGAGCTAGAAAAATAAGCCTTCCATTAACCACTCTTATGAAATCAAGCAGAGAAGTCAAACCTTACTTGCATTCTTTGAGTGCAAAAAATATATATGATATACATTGTTTACCAGGCACTTCCTTATACAGATAAATATTCTGGGGAGTTATTTACGCACAGCCAATATTAAGATTGTATTGGTTGCCAGAGAAACATTAACATAACATATGATTCATTTCTCAATTAGTGTCCACTCCTTTTCTGATGGTTCTTTAAAAGAACAGTAGTAAAACAGAATCATACAGGGTCATCAACTGTTAAATTACCAACACATCACCAAAACATTTTAATATAGTACTGAGAAATTCTCCTGGGATTTCCTACACTGACAATCACCAGTTTGAAAGACATCCAATAGTCATAGCCAATTATTTGCTCCCACCAATTTTCAAATTATTTTCCTACAATATTGCTCAGGAAAGGTACTAAGATGTAAATTGCTGTGAGGTATGAGGTAAGTTAATTTCCAAATCAATGTCCTTTCCCTAGGCCATTTCCAATTGTCCTTTCATCCATTTGCTTCATTTAACATTTAACATCATTGATAGTTAACATTAGATGAGCCATGGTGGTGCAGTGGTTAGATTGTAGTATTGCAGGCTACTTCTGCTGACTGCTGGCTGCCTGGATTTTGGCAATTTGAATCTCACCAGGCTCAAGGTTGACTCAACCTTCCATCCTTCCAAGGTGGGTAAAATGAGGACCCAGATTGTTGGGGGCAATAGGCTGACTCTGTAAATTGCTTAGAGAGGGTTATAAAGCACTGTGAAGCCATATATGTCTAAATATATAAAATATATTTATATAAAAGCATTATATAAGCTTTTGCTATTTAATCAGAGCAGCTGCTGAGACCCAACTTTGTTCCTTGTTGCCTTGTTACATAGCCACAGAGATGGGAGGCATCTTGGAGGCCAACTTAAAGTGATCCTACAAAGCTTTTAACTTTTTTCTTTGAGAAAAGAAAATTGGGGGAAACTGATATATAGAGAATAAAGAAAGTCAAGTCACCTGGGAGTTCAACTGAGTTTTGCTCAACTCCTGGTATCTTATATGGACTCAAATGTTTGATGTTTCCTCAGCATATCGACATTGTCTGCTATTGGTTTCTTTTATCACTAACCATTTTCTCTCCCTCTCTGCGTCTCTCCTTTTCTCTTTTCTTTTTACCTTCTTTCTATTTTACTGTATCTCTCTCCCTTGTTTATAGTTCAGCTTCACATGTATTTTGTTTGATGTGTGTGTGTGTGTGTGTGTGTATACACACACACAAAACCTTCCTTAAAGGATGTTAAATAAGTTTAACTCAACCCTTCCAATATTTTTCCCCAATTTCTTAGACTTGTCTCCAGGGAGGCTCTGATTCAGTCTCTTTTTTTCCTCTCAACTTCTCTTTATTCCTCTTTTTCCCCCCTCTAACTTTATTTCAGGAAAATAGAAACGCAAGAAGAAGTATAGTCCTAGAACACTGAAATAGTATTCTCATTTTCAATTCAGCAAGCAGAATATCTTATTACTTTCTATCTCTGAACATGTACATAAGCCCATGCACAGACATGGAGTATTGTCATTGTTTAGCTATTTCCCAATGCACCAGACCTTTCACATGTGAAATCTAAGGGATGTAGTTGACTATAAGAGTGTGATTTCCTCATCTCTCCTTCAAAAAGAAGGTGTGGGATGATTTTATACATTTTAAGCCAGTGGTTAAGATTGTTCCAGGCTGCCCAGAAGGCATATATATATTGCCTGCAGACAAGCTATTTGAAAAACAAACTAAAAGAGAAACAATGGCAAACTTCCTCCTCCAAACATCATTAAGAAAGCACAAAATCTTGAAAAAGCTTAAAATTCAGCACATGCCTTGCTCCCAGTGCTCCTTCCTACAACAATGTAAAACAAAGACATCTGTACTTATCTCCCTAGGATGTGTGGAGAAGAGAAATATTCCAGAATAGCCTTCAGAAAACTGAAATTCCATTTAGAAATGTTTGAAATTACAGTTATCAATACATGAGATTTTGCTAGCTAATCAGATAAAGAACCAAATTATTTTACACAATTAAAATTCCAATTTTGAAAGATGGGGAGGGATTTGGTGCTTGCACAAGCTTAGATTTACAAAGAAGAGGTTTGTTTGGCATCAGGCAGGGTGAAACCTGGCTCTATGCTTTATGAAATACAAAACACACTTTCAGCTTGCTAAGAAGGCACACCACCAAAAGAAACACATGAAAAAAATTTAAAGATAACTTACTGGTGTGGAGAATGTCAGCCCCAAAAGAGAAAGAAGCAAAATTATAATCTTCATATTTCAAGTTGGTACCTGTATGAAGGAATCAGAAATTTGTTTTTTTTTCCCTCTAGTATCTTATAAGCATCATTATTCACAATTATCAACCTTGACATTACAAGCATCTCTTACCCCACAATTCTTTTGCAGATGTAAACAGAACAACAGTTTGATGCCTAGAGTTTCATTAAAGCTCTTCCCTCAGTAGCTGTAACCCTTCTGAATGGTATCTGTCCCCCTCGAATGAATTTAAACTCCTATTCAGATGGGTAATCATCAGAGCAAAACCCACAGGTGATAATTTGTGTATCACTCAGTACCCAACATCTTATTATCAGTAAGTATCATTATGTCGCAAATGTGGTCATGGAGGTTTTTTTTTTTTTCTTTCTGGGAAGGAATGGAATAATATATTGAATGGGCTAAACAAAATTGGGCCCACTTTTTTCAGGGTCAGAATAGATGAACAATAGCATGATTTGTAGTCTAAAAGCATCTTGTACATACCAGGATCTCAGACAAGGTCAGAAAGGAACAGAAGGTAACAACTTAAAAATGGGCATCTGCTAACTGTTTAGATACTCCAATGTGTGATTTCCCCTGTACTGCATGTACATACACTGCTCAAAAAAATAAAGGGAACACAAAAATAAGACATCCTAGATCTGAATGAATGAAATATTCTTATTAAATACTTTGTTCATTACATAATTGAACGTGCTGACAACAAAATCACACAAAAATTATCAATGGAAATCAAATTTAGCAACCCATGGAGGTCTGGATTTGGAGTTATACTTAAAATTAAAGTGGAAAAAAAACACTACAGGCTGATCCAATTTTGATGTAATGTCCTTAAAACAAGTCAAAATGAAGCTCAGTAGTGTGTGTGGCCTCCACGTGCCTGTATGACCTCCCTACAACACCTGGGCATGCTCCTGATGAGGTGGCGGATGGTCTCCTGAGGGATCTCCTCCCACACCTGGACTAAAGCATCCCCCAACTCCTGGACAGTCTGTGGTGCAACGTGGCATTGGTGGATGGAGCGAGACATGATATCCCAGATGTGCTCAATTGGATTCAGGTCTGGGGAACGGGCGGGCCAGTCCATAGCATCAATGCCTTCATCTTGCAGGAACTGTTGACACACTCCAGCCACATGAGGTCTAGCATTGTTGTGCATTAGGAGGAACCCAGGGCCAACGCACAAGCATATGGTCTCACAAGGGGTCTGAGGATCTCATCTCGGTACCTAATGGCAGTCAGGCTACCTCTGGCGAGCACATGGAAGGCTCTGCAGCCCACTAAAGAAATGCCACCCCACACCATTACTGACCCACTGCCAAAATGGTCATGCTGGAGGATATTGCAGGCAGCAGAACATTCTCCACGGCATCTCCAGACCCTATCATGTCTGTCACATGTGCTCTGTGTGAACCTGCTTTCATCTGTGAAGAGCACAGGGCACCAGTGGCGAATTTGCCAATCTTGGTGTTCTTTGGCAAATGCCAAATGTCCTGCACGGTGTTGGGCTGTAAACACAACCCCCACCTGTGGACGTCGGGCCCTCATACCACCCTCATGGAGTCTGTTTCTGACCGTTTGAGAAGCCACATGCACTTTTGTGACCCGCTGGAGGTCATTTTGCAGGGCTCTGGCAGTTCTCCTCCTGTCCCTCCTTGCACAAAGGCAGAGGTAGCGGTCCTGATTCTGGGTTGTTGCCCTCCTACGGCCTCCTCCACGTCTCCTGATGTACTGGCCTGTCTCCTGGTAGCGCCTCCATGCTCTGGACACTACGCTAACAGACACAGCAAACCTTCTTGCCGCATTGATGTGCCATCCTGGATGAGCTGCACTACCTGAGCCACTTGTGCGGGTTGTAGACTCTATCTCATGCTACCATTAGAGTGAAAGCACCACCAGCATTCAAAAGTGACCAAACCATCAGCCAGAAAGCATAGGAACTGAGAAGTGGCCTGTGGTCACCACCTGCAGAACCACTCCTTTATTGGGGATGTCTTGCTAACTGCCTATGTTTTCTACCTGTTGTCTATTCCATTTGCACAACAGCTTCTGAAATTGATTGTCAATCAGTGTTGCTACTTAAGTGGACAGTTTGATTTCACAGAAGTGTGATTGACTTGGAGTTACATTGTGTTGTTTAAGTGTTCCCTTTATTTTTTTTGAGCAGTGTATATAAAAGCAAAATACCACTCATGCATCATCACAAACTATCCAGAACCGTAAAGCCTAAAAACTTGAAATTTGGCGTGTATGTTCCCCTTGGCTTCTAGGTGTTCACTAAGAAGGGATTTTTCGAAATGACCATCAGATTATTAGTATTTCTTATATTATTATTATTAACACCCTCTGATGCTAAGGAGTTCTACTCCCCCTCCCCACCTGAAAAGAAATCTGTTCCAAATGCAAAACACAAGCAGAGGAGTGGAGTTTCAGTTTTAGTTTCACAGCACACAAGCAGCTTTAGTACAGAACAGTTGAGCTAAGCCACATCCCGGCTCCTTGCTGTCTCCTTCTTGTTCACACAGCAAATACTGTTTCAATTTCCAAACAGCCTCACACACTGACAAGATGCTAGCCAGATGAATACCGATGAATGCTGGTAGGCAGAGGCAGAATTTCCCCCCCTTATTTTCCTCCCCCAAAACTAAGCCCAACCACATAGTTTCATAGCGAAGCACGGGTGTCTCAATAAACTCAATAAAATAATATAATAATAATAAAATAAAATAACAATAAAATAAAATTCAATAAAATAAACTCAATAAAAGAGGAACACAGACAAACCACAAGCAATAAATCCTTCTTTGAGATCAGAGGTTTATTTCATGAACAATTTGGAACATGAAAAGCCATCATAACATAATAACATTTCAGTAAGATAATACTTACAAACAACAACTCATTGCAATGAGGTCCACCAACATGACTGAGTCTGACAAGAAGGAGCCATGGCAGTGGCCCTGAACACATCCCAAGACATTCTTTTTATACTTTTCTGCACGCATTTCACAACTTACTTATCTGTTCTTTCTTACTGACAGACAGCCTCCACATATATCCGTGTACATTTCAAACCTCTATCCATCTCCTACTTTCTGTTCCCTATTTCTCATGGTTTTCAAAACTACATACTTTGCAAAATCACATTCTACAAAACAGCTCAGCAGGATTACAAATAGTTCTGGTACATTTTGAAATCATCCTCTCTAAAACTTTGGTTCATGTCTCTTTTATTCTGGGGTCTGCTATCATCCAAAGGTTTAGCGAAGGGGAAAAAAGTTGTGATATGTCACATGATTATAGAAGCAGCTGGCCACATAATGATTGACAGATTCTTCTAATGTGCTGGTCAGTTCTTAGTAACCTTTTTAAAGATGTTTGGAGTTCTTCAGTTCTCTGACTGGAGAACTGAAGAAGCATCTTGGATGAGAAATGAAACTTCTTCAAGGAAAAACAAAGTTGTTGCCTTTTGAAAAACCACCTTTGGGAATCACCAGGTCTTAATGACTTTCCAATATACCCTCAGAGTTGGTGCGGGTCTAATTCACCATAAGCAATGGGAAACGACCTCTTATGTAGAACTCTGTTTAGAGTGGAGACCTAAAAATATAGCTTGCTGCATGGCACCATGTCAAATTGTAGATCACATCATGACCAAATGGGCATATATGGTTCAGTATCTGGTTAATGGTTAGACACCCTAGACATTGGTATTTGAACATTTATATTTTATTGTGTTCTACTAATCTAGATACAAAGTTAATGTATATTTTGTATGATATGTATGTATGATATGTATGATATGCCATATACTACTAAACAAATAAATAACAGCTTGAATATTGGTGGTTATTCTTGCTTTACCTTACTTCATGCCTGCTAGACTAACATGTTGACTTTATGCCTACTTCATGCCTGCTAGGCTAACAGGCTGCAGATGTGAAGAAAAGGTATGGGTAAACAAAGAAACAGCTCCTTGCAACCCCTCCTATCCTGCTGTTACCTATCAGTCAGTCAGTTTTGCATTTAATATAAGTTTAGCACTTTTCAAAAGAGTGTTAAATTCATATTCAATAAGAAATCCAGGTGATTGGTGGCGTGCAGTGCAGAGGTGGTATTCAGCAGGTTCTGACCAGTTCTGGAGAACTGGTAGCAGAAATTTTGAGTAGTTCGGAGAACCTGCAAATACTGCCTCTGACTGAAGATTTTGCAGTATCCTTCCCCTGCCAGGCACACCAAGCCACGCCCACAGAACCGGTAGTAAAAAAAAAAAATTGAATCCCCCCACCGGTGCAGTGGTTAGAATGCAGCCCACTGCTCAGTGCCAGAAGTTCGACTCTGAGCAGCTCAAGGTTGACTCAGACTTCCATCCTTCCAAGGTCAGTAAAATGAGGATCAAGATTGTTGGGGGACAATATGCTGACTCTGTAAACCACTTAGACAAGGCTGTAAAGTACTGTGAAGTGATATATAAATATAAGTGCTATTACTAATGGAGCAACTTAGCCCAAATGGTTTATCCCAGGCAGTTTATTTATAGACTCCATCACTTTAAAGTAAGTGACTGGTGGATGTTTTCCCTGTCATCAAGTAATACTCAGAGTGAGAGAAGCCAGGGGAATCTACCCCTGATAATGGGGGAGGAAGATAGTATGTGAACACAGCTGCCTGACTATGCTCTTGGAGCGAATATAGATGATTATTCTACATCAAGGAAGCTACAGCATGGATTTTTAGCTGGATAAGAAATTGCATTAATTCTTCAAGTGTGGTCTTTTTACCAGGCCTATATATAATGTTCTATAGTGATTATTACGTTGTTTTTATAATAACACAATAAACATTTTACTGGAGCATTTTATATCCTACTATTATTTTGGCCCTTCTTGCAGTCTTTTAATAGTAACTTTTGTTGCTTTACTTGGACTAAATTCTATTTAAATCTCTGGCTTGTAAATAGGATCCCAGGCTATTTGGTTTATTTAGCTAAGGAA